AGAGCAATCATTCTGTTTTCAAGAAATGCTCAATTATGAAAATAACTACTTATGAAGTGACGGTCCTATCATCTCAGTGCTAAATCCATGATCAACATAATTACAAACAAACAAACAAACAAATAAATGGCAACACCCTGACTTCAGCAAAAAACCCCACAAATTTTTTTCCTAAGAGGTTCCTAAACAAATGCTCACCTCCTCAAGAGCAATTTGGGATGGTTCTTGCTCTCCAAGTTCTTTTCAATCAGATCTGAGAGAAGTTGTTTGAGCACTCCGGTGGCATATTCCATCTCACCCTGTAGAGCTGTCATGATTAAAGAGGCCACATTACCCCGATCGCGCATGGAGAAGCTGCGTTGTGCCTCCAAGGTTCGAATAAAGGTTAACAGGAAGTGTTTTTTGTTCAAGAGCTGCCCGAAGAGTGTCAAAGACTTCTCCACATTGGCCTGGACCTGAGGAAGAAAAAATAGGATTGCAGTCATATCAGAGTACTTTAACAATACAATGAGATAAGGAAAGTCAGGTACAGGATCAGACCTGATGCAACATTTGACACGAAAGAACAGAATAATGGGGTTTAGTGGATAAATGCAATGTCCAATAGTCAGTTTTTAACTCTAAAGTGACTACAAATATTTATTTCTAATTATGTGGGAGGACCATCTTCTCTTTGCAGGAGTTTCTTTCCAACCCTCATAATTTAGTGTATAAAACAAGAAGATGACCCTTGAAGTCCTTTGCAGCTATGTCTTTCCAGTATACGGTGAAACTATTTTCTTCAAAGACTTTACCACTTAAGAAGCTCACACTGTGGACAGACAATACTTTATGTCCCTTAATACTGTTGATTCATTAAAAAGCTGCCTATTCTAGAAATTCCATTTTTTGAACAGATATTCTCAAAGACATCTATAATTTTACTTGCAAGGTTTGTTACAAATTTTCCTCAAATTTTGAGGCCATGAATCAACTGATCTTGTTTGCAAATAGTACTGGAGTAGATCTCTCTTTCGTCTATTTATTTATTGTTCAGATCACTGAGCACAAAACATAAACGTTCATGAAAGTGTCAGTAAAAAAATAATTTCAGTATGAATGCTGGAAATCATCAGAATTCCTTTCTGTGCTGGTTTCCAATGCACTTGCATATCTATGCAGACAAAATAAAAATGAAAAACAAAAAGAGGCAAGTCAGAATTGGTAGTGAAGTGCATGGATATCAGTTTGGACTGTAATTTAATGATGGTTAAATTTAAGAAGTCCAAACCACCTTCTTCTCCTATTGTTCCAAATCTGAAGTTGACTGGAAATTCCAGCCCTAAACATAATATGGAAAGAGAATGATAGGCTGACAGTTCTCTTGCCTGCTGTCACACCAAATCTACTGAAACAAACAGAAGTACTGTCATACCAATTTGGACCTATGGGACCTAAGTGGCAGAATTCAATAGCAGAGAGAAGATTCTGCTGCAGATAAGCAGACTGAAGGCTGTACAGGTAGTTCTCCCTTAATGACGGCAACTGGGACTGGCAACTCTATCACTAAGTGACGTGGTCATTAAGTGAAATATCACATGACCACCCTTGACTTATGATGTCACTTCTGTTGCAGTCGTTAATTGAATTCCTCGTGGTCATTAAGTTTGACATCATGTGACTGCAACTTGCGACTCACTGCCAGCTTCTCCACTGACTTTGCTTGTCAGAAGCCAGCTGTGAAGGTCACAAATTGCAATCATATGACCACAGGGCGCTGCGACCATCATAAATGTGCATCGGTTGCCAAGCACCCAAATCATGAACTCGTGACTGCGAGGAGGCTTTGACCATCATAAGTTTGAGGACCGGTCATAAAACTACTTTTTCAGTGCCATCGTAAGTTTGAAAAGCTGCTAAACAGGACAGTGGTTAACTGAGGACTACCTGTATTTGGTTTTCTACAGAGATCAATTCAAGGAACAAGTCTGGGTGCAGCCATAAACCAGTGTATTCATTGACATTTGCAGGTTCCTTACAGTGCAACTGGACTGTCCCCCATACCATCTTGATAGGACCACAAAAAATACAGAATTCATTAATGAAATCTGGTCAACATCAGCATATATGTCACTGTAAATCTAAAGCCAGGAACATATAGAATAACTTCTTGTCTCTTTAAATTAACTACATTATGACAACCCTTCTTTTAACAATTACAATTTAGTAGTCTACAATTTTCAGGAAAGAATAGGTTTTTTTTTTATCCCTTCTTTCATCTTGCATACTCACACAGCATCACATTTTTAAATTTTATCAAACAAGCATCCTCTCTCCATCCCTAAACAGGAATTGCCAAAATGCTTGATTTGACCTGAGACTAATTGCCAGATTCCTCCTGGCTAAATCTGAGCATAGCAAACAGCCCTACAGGAAATCTTGATCTTTTGCACTTTCTACATATGGCTGTAAATGTTACCGTCTGTCCCTGAGATTTAGCAATGGAATTGGGTCATATGGTCTCTCTAGCCATGAAGCAGAAAATAAATTACTAAATATGACCAGGACATCTGATCTACAGAGGCTCAAGCAGAGAAATATTTCTATTTAGCTACAATTATAGTCTACTTGTTGCCTCAGTTCCCATACTTATACTCAGGAAACATCTGAAGAGAGGCAGGAAAGAACCTATATCATTTTATGCCAATCTCCATATTTTTCCAGACAAACAAGGTAAAACTAAACCGAATACCTTCAAAGCAAATGTCCACCTTCCTCTTGTAAAGTAAGTCATTCAGAGCAAAGGCTTTTCATTTCATTATTCTGAAAAGGGTTTTATATTGATGGCAAAATATGAATAATAAATGAAAATTAAATAGATTTAGGTCCACATGTTTCATTAACAACAGAGGTCTTGTGAATATTTACTGATTGATCAAATTTGTATAGCCACCAATCTCACAAGAAGTTGCTCTGGGCAGTGTACAACAATCAAATAAAAACAACAATCAAAATACAATCGTTATAAAAATGTAAAACCATAATTATTAAATTGAAATATATTAAAAGCAAGATATACAAATCATGGGCATGGAGAGAGTGAAGATATCATTAGTGAAGATAATAATACTAAAATCACAGGACAAGTACTGCATATCTCTTGAATAGCATATAGAACATGTATTACACATTTGTACTGGCATTTCTTAAAAATGAGTGTGCACACATGGGAACATTATTTTCAGTTAAGATTTTTCACCAGCCATTACCAAAGGTTATCACTGCCAACTGATTGCTTGCAATTGAGGATACAGAGTGTTGTTGCTCAATGGCCATGAAAATCACATGGAAACACAAAGCTCAACTGGCAATAGTTTGAAAATTTGAGGACAATTCAAGTATTTAAAAGAAATCAGGATTTCAGATTGACACACCAGTTGTATTTCTAGGGAATTTTCAATGAGCCCCTTCTCCAGATTTACCTTAAGAAGTGAGATTCAGAACCCAAATTAAGGATATGTCCAAGACAATAACTTCTTCTGGATGTCCAACTTGCTTCTCAGAGTCTAAACTGTTCTAGGGATGAGTATCAGCTTCAGACAAAGCCTGACTCCAGTCCCAAATGGGATACCTCAGAGGTTCTGCTCCCTTCAGGTCTCTGGCTTCAAAGTCTGAGCCAAAGAAGCTGCTCCACAAAAGGAAGTGACAGGCAGAACAGAGATGAAGTGAAAAGTAATATAGTTTGGGACTGATATTTAAAATATTTTTAAAAATTACGGAGCTGCTGATATTTATGATTGGCTTCTGAAATCCTCTTCATTTATCCAGAAAAAATGTTTGATTGTTTTCAGTAATGTCTACTATTGTCTTATCCTAGAATATTTCCCCAAATCTCATTCTCTTGCATCTGAATGATAAAATGCCTTGGTTTTTATACGTGCCCTGTGTTGGTAATTAGGTGAACCATTTCCCTTCAGCCATTCTCCCTGCTTTTTATATTGGTTAGCATTCCACGGTTTTAATGTATCTGATCTATTTGGTCAGAAACTGTTAAATTGCTGGGATTGTTGGGGGAGAAGGGCTCCAATTCACAACACAAAACAAAAGTAGTTATTTTAGTCCCCCATGACACGTTCATAATAATTTGAATTCACATTTGTCAGTTATAGCAGGAATCCACTGCACTGAAAAGCATTCATGCAAATTCACTTTAATATCATTAGCACAAAGCAGAAGGCGGAAGACTATCTCTATCCATACAGTTGTTTGAACCAATAATGTTGCTACAGAAAGCATTCCATTACACAGGATGCTAACCTTCCGTAGGCACTCTGTGTGAGTGTGTGTGTGTGTGTGAATGCAAATAAGCATGTGTTTACTTTAGAGTAGAATACTCTCTCACATACAACTTATTCTCTCTCTACAATGTTTGCACCATATTCTTGAGGCACTTCAGTGCAGGGCCATTTCCATTCCCCAATCCTTCTAAACCACAGTTGGGGGATGTGAGATAGTCCTGGAATAACAGAATAAGAAAAATGTCCTTATACACCCCCCTCCCCGATCCTGAGTTTGATCCTCTGCAGAAGAGAAGAGGAACGCTGCTTATTTCATCCCAGCTACATGGGAGAACAGTTGCAAGGAACTGAAAAGAGACAATACAGTCCAGATCAGTTCCAGCTGTGTTATAAAGTGGATTGCATTTATCTAAGGATAAACACACACGCAAAACCTTGAGTGGTCACTGTGAAGGGGGAACTGTCAAATTGTCAAACCATCTTTCGTCTTGTGACTAAATGCTATGTCAGCAGAGATCTCAGAGGAAGGATAAGGCAAGATTTTCCATCAGCAGGGAAGCAAGCCACCCACAAAGTCTGTAGAACTTTATTGCTAGAAATGGAAAGTTTTGGGGGTTTCCCCCCCTCCTTTTTGCAATTTTGGGTTTGTCATTGCTGAGCTAGAGATTAACCACCTCAACTGCCAAATACAACAGCACAGGAACATATGACTCTAAACCAATTCTGGAGCAGTACAAGGGCTCAACTGAAGGTGCTTTCAGGCAGCAGAATAAAGGCTAGAGCTCAAGCCTCAATATCCATAAATCGTACTGACTGGTGCTTGCCATGGCCTCACTTTGAGGAATAAGCAACACAACTAATGCTTTATTCAGGCACAGTCATGAAAATGACAGATGTGGACTGGATCAAAATCACATTTGGGACTGGGGAAAAGCAGCCCTCCTAATGCTCTATTGCTCCTATCTGGGAAAAAAGAGACTGAGAATACATGTATAATTAGCTGACTTTCAGTAGCAGCAACAAGAGAGAAGTGAAACAAAAGATGGATAGAGATTCATTTGATTAGAGGCTGCATGAAGAGAAGACATGGGCTCACTGGACTGAAGGCCATGTTGGGTTCAGAGCAGTGGCTTCCTTGCATGCTTTGAAGCAACTGGACGTTTGACCATAATTCTCTC